TGAGTTCAGCCTATTTAATATTTTTAATTAAACACAATATTACATTTTACAGTGTGGGACATCCGGGTTTCATTGTGGCATCCAAGTGTGTGGCAGAAATACTGTCAGATATCAGACTATCACTGGTGACATAAAGGCAGAACAGTTTTAACAGAAAACCTCCCAAAAAATTTTGTATTTATTTTGCATTTTTTTTAGTCTTGATTGGCCTCCTCTTCAGACACTGAGCCATTTTGTGGCCTGCACCCTTTCTTGCCCAGCTTTCCTCCAGCCCATCATCCAGCAGGGCTCCAACTCCACTGGTCCATCTCCACCGATTAACCAACCTAACCTCACTTGTTTGCTCACTGCAGTCATTCTGGCAGTCAATGTATCCTCAGGCTAAGCCAAACAAGCTGATCAGCCAGCCACCTCTGTACACAGTACCCCCCACTAAGAGGCTAATGGCCGGGATGTATAATCCTTCTCAAAACAACCACAGAGATGCTAATTGTATCCCGCTATAAATACTGGCCGACTCCTTGTCCTCTTTCTTCATTTGCCTATAAACCTGGAACAGCCTACGCCCTTCACACCGGCTTCCCCGAAACAATTTGTACAGATACCAGGAAAAACTCCGTTACATAAGACAGGCTCTAGATAATTGAGACAAGTGTCAATAAACCTGCAGCATCTGAAAAAAGGAGAGCGGCAGAGAGCGCGCGGGGCTTTACGCACGGATACAGCATTTCATGCGTCTTTTGGCCACTTCTTCACTTCTTCTCTGAGCTGCTGCGAAGCAACAGGTCGAGATGTTCCCCCTGCCGATGTTCACACCGGACCAGGTAGCTCGGGTGTGCGAAAACCTGGAGGAGACCGGGGATATCGAGCGCCTCGGTCGGTTCCTCTGGTCCCTGCCAGCCGCCGTCCCTGGTTCCGCCGGGGAAGCGCTCAACCGACACGAGTCCATAATGCGAGCCAGAGCGCTGGTCGCGTTTCACGGAGGGAACTTCGAGGCTCTTTACCAAATCCTGCAGAGTCACCGTTTCACGCGCGAGTCTCACGCCAAGCTGCAAGACCTGTGGCTGGACGCGCACTACCGAGAGGCAGAGAGGCTCCGTGGGAGACCTCTTGGCCCGGTGGAGAAGTACCGCATCCGCAAGAAGTTCCCGCTGCCCCGCACCATCTGGGACGGCGAGCAGAAGACGCACTGCTTCAAGGTAGGGTTGTGGTTTCACTCTCGTGGCTTTTGGTGAGAGAGGGTTAGGGTCGTGATATTTCAAACTAACCCGCGTGTTCCCTCATTTCTGAGGAAAACACGGACTCTGCAGTGCCAGGCTGCTACAACAAGCATAAACATTTCTGCAAACTACACATTAACTAATAAATCAGAGCTTTTTAACATGACTGTTGTATTCGTGGTGGCTGGTCTTTGAGCTGTTAAAATGATGACGGTCAGAGTCATGGATTTCCCCTCAGATCAGAAATTTCTGAGACTTTCCTACTTTTTAAAAAAAACAAAAGTTGAATAATTTCATTAGTTAAACTGTTTTTGTGCAGATATGACAAAATTAATCTAAGCTTATCTGTATGATGCAGCTGCGTGTGTGTTTAAAATGAAAGTTCCTCTGTGGATCTGTGTTAAAATTGTGGTTTCAGCAAAATTCCTCTTCTTTTTCTGTAGCCATGTTTAAGAGAACAATTTCCAACGCACACCTTGCAGACTGCTGGTTTGCACAGCAAGAGTTCTTCTGTTAGATTTATAAAACTTTTTTCTTGTGACACATTAACAATGCTTTCCAGATGTGCAGAGAAGCTCGACTCAAAAGAAAGAAAGAAAGAAAGAAAGAAAGAAAGAAAGAAAGAAAGAAAATGTAACATTTTGATGCCATGAGATTTGTTGCAGTTCCTCAGGAGGCAATTTGGCGACATTTTTGCCTTTTAAAGTGCAGTTTATAAATCACAAATCGGTAAAAGTATACAAAGTACAGCTTTAAAGATACAAAATAGTATGTTTGGGGGAAGTAAAAATGCACTTTTCCTCTTGGAAGTGTGTGTCTGAAAGTGTGAGCACCCTCTAGTGGCAGGGTGGTGAAGTATCATTCAGAGTTAATCTTTAATTCCAACCCTCAGGAGGGGTAGCTTCTCCAGCAGCTTATTAAACCACTTAGCATGATCCAATTTAGTGGATAAACATTGTTATGTGTGCTTCTAATGTAGATTGTGTTTATATATTTATAAATCCGGACTAATGTGATTATACCAGGTATCATATAAGAGTGATTATTGCGGTTTAATAGGATGATATTAAAATAACACTAACCACTTTATTGTCGTCACCTTCAGTTGATCCGTCATATGAGACACGTGGAGTCTTTAATGATCCACATCATTTTAATTCGTACCCAGGAAAGAACTCGCAGTTTGCTACGAGAGTGGTATCTCCAAGATCCGTATCCCAATCCGTCCAGGAAACGCCACCTGGCCCAGGCCACCGGGCTCACACCTACGCAAGTCGGGAACTGGTTCAAGAACCGCCGGCAAAGAGACAGAGCTGCCTCAGCAAAGAACAGGTATCTCAGAAGTTCCACATTTTCTACAAGTTATGACTCAGAAAGAGAGAGAAACCCTGTTTAGTCAAGTTAAAGAGACTAATTAGGTGAAGTGGCTGTACTTGTCTGAAGATCAGCTCCGACACTCACACTCTTAAAAACAAGACTTCTCACTCTTCTTCTCTTTTCTGTCCCCTGATGCAGGCTGCAGCAGGATCCTTCCCTCCTGCCCTCTGAAAGCTCTCCCAACGGCTCCCTCCAGGGACGCCACCATCACCCCCACCTGCTGCCCGCCTCCCCTCGCCACCCGGGCAGCCCCGAGGCCAGCGACTGCAGCACAGAGCCCGAGCCCAGAGGAACCGGAGCCTCCACCCCGGAGATCTCCGTCAGCAGCGACAGCGAGTTTGAGTCTTGAGACGAAGGACTCTCTGTCGCAGACGGGCAGACTCTTGCTATTGTCTGTGATCAGACCCAGACACACTTACAAAGACACTTGAACTTTCAGCGGTGGGAGGAGGGCAAGGATGAGACCACTTGTTGTGGATGTGAGTGGACAAAGTAAAGATATGCACTTAAAAAAAAGCACCATGGCACATGACTCTGACTGTTATGTATTAGTTTAATGTGACTCAGTGCTGTAAAAAGATAAACATCCAGTTGAGTTTCAAACTCTCAGGCGAAGTATTTGTAGAGATCATGCCTATGAGCTTTAGAAGAGATTTTGAATATTAATATTTTAAGGTCGAATGCTATTTTGGTAGAGACAGTTTTCACAGTTTTTATGGAAGCTACAAAAAGAAAAATGCCTTGTGCAGGCTGTTACTGTATGTCAGTATGTTAACACGCACATTGTTTCATTTGATTATCTTCAGATAAGAACCAAAAACAAACTGTGAAAATCCCCTAGAACTGGCAGAGACGTCCCCACACAGTGTTACAGTTTTATCACTCCTGAAAAATTACATTTAAAAAATGCACAGCTGCCAGTGGTGGCACACTTAATGATAATAAAGGCACATTTATTAAAATTAAAAGCAGCCGGTAAATGTACAAAATCTATCTTGCTGCGCTGCAGTTTGCATGTTAACATAGGGACGTACCAACTCAACACATTTCACTGCCTTAAAATGGAACTAAGGGCATCACTGTTTTGCAATGCAATAACAAGCAACACGTTTAGAGAGACCATGCACACATGCTGCTTAAAATACAAACCATGTCATTGTGGGCTGTTTTACCTTTTTCGCTGATCAAAATCTGCTGGAAATGCTCCTGAGCTGCTCTGATGATGACGAATTCCTGCAGGAGCCGACGCAGAGGTGAAAGAGGAATCAGAGAGAATAAAACACACTCGTCGGTCTTAACTCAATGTGCCTATTACATCTGAGAACAGTGAGACCTAATCAGGCATGAGACTGTCCTCATGACAACGACACACGCAAAGGCCTACTGTTTGCTGTCTTTCTTAACGACCATCATTTCTCATAAAGTATCGTTTTAATGATAAATGTGTATTTTGTAATGTTTTGTGTAAATAAATGAACCTATTTTTATCCAAAGCGATGCAGTCTTTTTTTTAGCTGTGATCAGTATGAATACACTGTGTTTGTCTTTCTTTAAATCACCTTCAATATCAAAAAGCTTGAGCTTTTTTCACCAAACAAAATCAGCATGAAGCCACAGATTTACTCAAGGCTTACAAAGAATCAGATGTAGCCTGTTGAATACGCTTTTAAGTATCATATTAATATAAGGTGTAAAAATTTTGAGTTTTTTAAACTACTCTGCAGTGGGTTACAGTTACAATTGCAATACCAGGACTTATGTAGTTTCTTAAATCACCTTTAGTGTTAATAATAACTTGAAGCAATCATTTTCTGTGTAACTTATCAGTCTCTCGCATCACTGTGGAGAAATTCTAGCCCACTCATCTTTACAACACTGCATCAGTTCATTCATTTATGCACAGCTCTCTGTCTCACCACAGTATTTCAGTCAGGTTGAGGTCTGGACTTTGGACCATTGCAGCCCTTTGATTCCTTTATTTTTTCAGACTATTTGTTGTAGATTTGCTTCTCTGTTTGACATCATTGTCCTGTTGCATGACACAGTTTCAGCCAAGCTTTAGCTGTTGGACAGATGACCTCACATTTGACTCTAGAATACTTTAACAAACAGAGGAATTTGACTCAGTGACTGCGATGTGTTCAAGTGCTGTGGCTGCAAAGCCTAAACCATCACCCCTCCATCACTGTGCATGAGGTGTTTGAGCTGATATGCTGTGTTTGGTTTCGATTTGTGGTGCCGTGCA